TGACAATGTGAATATTCACATTGATAGGAGTGTAAAATTAGCCCGCACCTCGTGGCTGCCCGAAACCCGCCTACGGCCCGGGGCGAGCCCGACCCGACCTGTTGACAATGTAAATATTCACATTGATATGTTAACATTCACATTGATAAGAGTATAAAATTAGCCAGCAGTCCAGGGCGAGCCCGACTCGGCCTGGCCCGTTGACAATGTGAATATTCACATTGACATGTTAACATTCACATTAATAGGAGTGTAAAATTGGCCTCCGTCCCGTGGCGGCGCGAAACCCACCCGCGGGCCGGGGCAGGCCCTGTTCGGCCCATTGACAATGTGAATATTCACATTGACATGTTAACATTCACATTGATAAGAGTGTAAAATTGGCCTGCGGCCCATGGGTGGCCAAAAGCCCGCTCGCTGCCCGAGGCGGACCCGGCCCGACTTGGCCCGTTGACAATGTGAATATTCACATTGACATGTTAACATTCACATTGATAAGAGTGTAAAATTGGCCCGCAGCCCGTGGGCGGCCCGAAGCCCGACCAAAGCCCAAGGTGGGCTTGGCCGACCTGTGACAATGTGAATATTCACATTGACATGTTAACATTCACATTGATAGGAGGGTAAAATTAGCCCGCGCTCCGTGGCTGCCCGAAACCCACCCACGGCCCTTGGGCGCCCCGGGGCGGGCCCGGCCCGGTCTGTTGACAATGTGAATATTCACATTGACATGTTAACATTCACATTGATAAGAGTGTCAAATTAGCCCATGACCCGTGGGCAGCCCGAAGCTCGACCCCGGGCCGGGGCAGGCCCGGCCCGTTGGCAATGTGAATATTCACATTGACATGTTAACATTCACATTGATAAAAGTGTAAAATTAGCCCGCAGCCCGTGGGCGGCCCGAAGCCAGACCACAGCTCGAGGCGAGCTTGGCCCGACCTGTGACAATGTGAATATTCACATTGATATGTTAACATTAATATTGATAGGAGTGTAAAATTTGTCCGATGCCCGAAGCTCGCCCGCGGCCCGGGGTAGGTCCGGACCCAAACCCGGGCCGGTCTGAGCCACCCATGGGACACGAGTCAATTTTACACTCTTATCAATGTGAATGTTAACATGTCAATGTGAATATTCACATTGTCAACAGGCTGGGCCGAGCCCGCCTCGGGCCGCCCACTGGCCGTGGACGGGTTTCGAGCAGCCACGGGGCACGGGTTAATGTTACACTCTTATCAATGTGAATGTTAACATGTCAATGTGAATATTCACGTTGTCAACGGGCCGGGCTTCGGGCTGTGCACGGGTCACGGGCCAATTTTACACTGTTATCAATGTTAATGTTAATATGTCAATGTAAATATTCACATTGTCAACGGGCCGGGCAGGTGTCACGACCCAAACCCGGCCCTATGGGTTTAGCACCGTAACCGGCCAGTAATCCGAGATTACCGAAGGCCTGCTTAACAGTAATACAGTAAAACAGAGTACAGGGCCTGGCGGAAGCCAATACAGTAAATAAATAATGTCCATTGAGCTGTGACAGTCTGTATGCCAAAAAGATTTTTCATGCATTCATACATAAACAGTACAGAACAGTATGTACAATATTCAATCATTCAGATTAGGGACTCAATCCCTACATAACAGTACGGAAACATTACAAATCCCGAGGAATTCCTTCCTTTTCATTTTCATCACCACAGTGTTAAAAAAGTTTCGAAGAACTTAGGTCAATGCAATGAATTCGAGGTGCAGAAGAGTAAGTAAGATGCTCCGCCGTTTCATTCAAATTTTCTGGCATAACTAGCTCGAAGTAGCAATAGGCACGAAAAACATGATAGCCTCAGCTGTTTCATTCAGATTTCCTGGTTGCAACTGGCTCCATAGCAGAGACAAACTCAAAAGAAAACAAAAGGGTAATTACAAAACAAAACAAAGGTGACGTTTAGTCCTTATAGTTTACAAACAACCCGGTGAATTCATTATCACCAACCCCTTATCCAGTTACTATTTCCTTATCCATTATTTTCAAATAATTTCTATATGCATTCCCCTTCCATACCAAATTACACATCAAATTGTAATTTCATAAATTTATCACAAGTCACACATGAAGCTTGGGTAACCAGCTTAAGGAATGATAGAATATCACCCCCTATTTATAAATGAAGATTTAGGGTTTACAAGAAAGGCAATTACAAGATGATCCCTGAGTGCTATCCCTGAGTGCATAAAATGATTACAAACAGACCCTAGTGTATCTTTCGGCTACCTTTCGGCTAATATAATATCACTTAATATAATATGCTAACAAACA